CTGAAAGAAATAGAAGCATTTGGGGGGTGATTAGAAAATCCAATGTATGTACACAATCTAAGTCTTCTTAAGTTTAATTTGCTTTTGGCCATTTCTAACAAAAGCATGCAAGTAAGGTGTTCTGTGAGGGAAGTTATCAGACTCATGAACATCTGCAATACACACCTTTTCCCTTAAAAACTGAAATAACCTCAAGTAAAAAAAATTTCAGTGTGGGGCTGGGGGTTATTGTCAATTTACACAGGGATACTGTTATAAAAACTGTGTTTTCTTAGAATGGGCATGGACCTAATTATTTATTGGAAGAAAAAATCAAATTAATTATTACAGCTTTTGAAAGTTTCTGCCAGGCACGTGGGGGAACAAGCTAATGTACTTGATTTGCAGTATCATCACCAATGCTGTTTTTTAGGTGTGATAAAGGAACAAGACCATTTCAATGTCAATTTGAGAGGGATCCAGCGCTTGCTTTTAACCACCTTTATGTGCTCTGACAGCCATGTTGCTACCTGAAATCCCAGTTCTGTAAGAACTGCCTCATCACTTTATAATTCTGTGCCAATAAATGTACAGAACACAAAATTAATCTGTTTCCATGAATCCTGAGTAGGACTGAGTAGTCAAAGGAAGCTGTTTTCCAGCTCTTCTGTGGGCAAAGTTAAGCTTTGACCAGGCTTTGTTCAGGAGTTGCCTATCCTTGCTAATTCAACAAAATCTGATTTTCCAAGTGCATTTGAAAAAACTCCATCCAAGTAATGTCACCTTTTATACGACTTTTTAAGTTCATGCTGTTTTGCCACACTTACATCTGTAAGAACAAGCAGAGAGATTCTGCAAGAATTGTGCCAGAATTGGTCTTTCAGAAAACCTGCCACAAAAGTATAACATGAACACAATTTTGGTTGAACCCAGAAACACAAAAAATTCTAGGAAAATCAACAGAAATGGCTTAATGTGTTTTCAAGTATGTCATGCTCATCGTGAGTGCTCTTAAAATTTGTGTCCAGATATGATTGATTTAAATTTTATTTATTTCTTTAAGGAATTTGTGTCAAGTGCCAAATAGTTACAACTAGAATAATAATGAGTAGCATCTGAGTACTTTAAGTACTTTAAAATTTTATGTGACACTTTAAAAATGTAGTTTGGGTTTTTTTCAAACACTAGAAAGCAAAAGGCTCTTTACTATTTCACTGAACTTTTGAGAACAGGAGCATTATGTTTATAATAGAGATAGGAAAAGCTTAATCTGCACTTACGCTTGGTTCAGACACCCAACAGTGACAATCCCACTTTCCTTGTCAAGTTTCAAGAACTCACAATCCTTAATTTAAACACTTGAGAAATCTATGAAGCCTGTCAGTCTAGTTAATGAAGCCTCCTCCTTCCCCGTTTTTTAAACAAAATCTGCCTTTCTTTAAAGACCACTTAAGGCATATCTCTGATTATACAAACAGGGTCTGTCCTAGAAGAGTGAATAATCCAATAATACCTCATTTGACTTGTTTCCCCCACCACCCCCAGTAGTTCCACTAGAGGAACAGAACTTCCTTCAAGGGTAGCAGCTGGTTCCAAATAAACAACAGATACGTGCTGCTTCTGTGGACTCTGCAAGGCTTTGATAGGAGGGCTTCTTGATCTCAGGTCACTTAGAAGGTTATGGGCATCAATTAATATTCTCTTAAATTCTCTTACATATCTCAAAATATTCCCATTTTTTTAGATGTTTGCATGACTTAAAACTTCTCAGCATCACACAGCATATATGAGAGCATGCATGTATGATACAAGAGGTGCTGTGAATTCAGCTGTTCACAAAGTTAGATCAGTTAATTAGACAGACTTTGGTATCTTACCATTGGTTCTCTAGAATAGTTGAAACAAATTATTAAATAAACCAGCTGTTGAAATAAGACTGATACTTCACTGAGCTAAATGCTGTGAAATACGTACTGACATATCTTGATGAATTTACAACCTCTGGACAAAGCACAGTAAATTATTTTACATAGGTTATGAGACTATATGAAATTGTTTTTTCTCTTTCTATTCTGTGTTATAGTCATGGAAATCTAGAAGGAAAAGTGTGTGCAGCAGGAACATGAGATCACATATTCAGGTTGTTTGTATAAGCTGTTTAATTGTGTAAAATTAGTAAATATTAATAGTCAGATTGGCTGCCCATCGGCAACAGTCAACTCTGATAATAATTCCTATGGTTGCCACAATAGAAGAGAAACTTGAGATGAAAAATTTACATCAACATTAATTAATATATCGTGAACACTAATGACTTCATCATCTGTATGCACTGAGAACAGACAACATGAAATACAGCAGCCATGAAAGGATTTATAGCCCTTGATAACTGAGACTGGCATCACAGCTGGTAGGGAAATTATGTCCAAACAAGGGTGGAATTGGAGGCAGGAGGGAGGAGCAGAGATTTTGAAAACAAGTTTAGATGAAACATGAAAGACGTGCAGCTACAGAAGGATGTCTCTTTACTGTATCACAGAGTACCACAGGTACCTTGAATATGTCATGGGAATGGCAAGCTGGTCAGAAGGTCAAAGAAGATTCCTATAAATGCTGAGAGAAGGTAGCAGAAAACAAAGGGTGTGAGCGTGGAATTTCTGTAGTGAAACCATGCACAGGAGAGACCTCTTGGAAGTAGAGGGAGATGGGTGGCAAGACAGGGTTTCTGTCAGAAAAATTGAGTCAAAAGATGGAAGGCTGAGTCAGAAAACCGTGGCCCAGTAGGACAGGAACAACAGCAAAACAACAGCATTGTCTACTCTGACCAAAACTTGGAAGGAAGAAGCAAAACAAGTAATTTTATCAATCTGAAGTTTAAAATAGTAAGGCTGCTAAAAGATCATGTCAGGATGAAAGACAAATGCAGGATGACACCAGTTAAGAGCAGAGAAGTAGGTTTCTGAATTAGTAATGTAAATATGGTTCCATCTCTTATGTGAAGATCAGCCAAGAGGTTTTCATCTGGTCTTAGGAGGTATCCAGAAATTCTCATTTTAAATACCTTTGATGAAAGGCCTTGGACTTATCACTTGGTTTCTAAGTGTGTGATAAAAACTCCAAGTTAATACCATAAGACAGAGTAAATATTGTCTTTTTCATGTATAGGACTGTTATTGTAGAGTTGGACATTAGATGCTTTTACTGACGCTTTGGAAACTTGGCTTCTGAGTGCATTGTATTTATAAAGCTGTGGAAGTCTTTTATGTAGATGTGTAGCTTGATGTCTGTTTTAATTTTCAGAGAGCATATCCTGAAGGATTTTCAGTTCAGTTAATGTTGTTGATAGGGATTTTCTATTCGTGCACTGCATGTACAAAGCCCAAATCTTTTGACTTTTTAGAAAATAAAATAGTAAAATTTTATATCAAATATGAAATGGTTGAGCTATCCTTAAATTGGAGCAATTTTCATCTCACTGAAATTCATCATTATCACACCTCCTGGAAACTGAGAATACTTCAGGCTGTGGGCTGGAGATAGCTGCAGACTTTCTGGTGTAAAAAAAGTTTGTCCAATGTAAAGCAAGAGCTTTACCTGCATGCCAGAAGGTGTATTTGTGGTACCAAGATCACAGTTAAAAAATTGTTATGAATTTCCAGCTTAGACTGAAATTAAAAGAAAACTTGTCACTTACCAGAAATGTTGCTTTTTATCCAGCCCCTAGAAAAGACTGTTTTGGGAACATGTCTTTTCATTCAATCTTATTTATGTTATCAGTGTCTTTTAGAACTGTGTTTTTCCCAGTCACTTGATATTCAGCATTCTGTTAGCATTTGCCAGTCACATTTTAACTATTTCTTTTCCAGACTGTATTAGACTGTGAAAAGGATACAAATCAAATTTATCCCTGGAAGAGTTCACAGTTAAGAAGTCTGAAGTTGTAGGTCTGGATGTATCTCTCAACAAAACTTATAACAATTAGGGTGAAACCCCAAAGCCCTGGTGCAAACTACTGTCCTAACATCCTTGGGTCGATTGATGCAGACAGGTCCAGAGACTGAGGATGAAAGTCTGCCCTTTACCCAGAAACAGCAGCTCACTGACCATCAGTCTCACAAATGCCATTTCTCCCTCCACATGCTGACCTGAAATCCAGATTGTGCTGGCCTGGTGTATCGATTCCAGTTTTCTCTCTGGCTAAACTCTCTTTGAGCATAGTCCAAAGTGAAAGGTTTGAAGCTGACTGGTAGCTAATGTGATGCAATTTCTTCCTCCAGGAAAGAAAGGGACCTGCCCTGAAAGCTCAATTGATTAATTTAGCCAAGAAAAACATAGTTGCTCAGGATAAGTAATGCCACAGCTCAGAGCCAGAAGCCAGGACAAAACAACATTTAAGTTTCCACTGCTTGGGGAGACATAAATTTGATTTCCGTAATGAAGGCCAAGGCATTTGTTGATCAGCAGGCAGGGACTAAATCTCTGTAATGTGTGGACACAGCCTTTGACAGGGATACACCTCAGCTCAGGAAGAGCCCTGGAATTGCATGAATCCAGGATCTTAAACCAGACCTAAAAAGAGAGCTCTTGGTCCCAGCACCTCAGCTCCTGGAAGAGCCCTGGAATTGCGTGAATCCAGGATCTTAAACCAAGACCAAGTGATTTATTAAAAAAATATGGATATTGATCTATTACCGATATCCAACTCTGACGGACAAAAACTCTCTAACAGTTTAAAGTTAGAAAGTGTGTGTTTATTCAATGCCGGGCAGCGTGCGGGATCACTCCCAAATACACACCGCACCTTCCAGGTGATTACAGAGTCTTTTTATCCATACAAGTATTGAATACACAAAATACAAATACATATTCATCATTTTGGTACATCCCATTCCCCGCTTTGTATGCTAATCACTCCAAAAGCTATTAAGCCTGCGTAGTTTGTCCCTTGAAATGGGTCAGTGGCCCCTTTCATGGGGAGGGGTCCCAAAATGAGGAAGTAAATGAAGTCTTCCTCGTTCTGA